AAGTGCTTGCTCATATAACATTGATCCAACATCTCCCGACCTGCGTCAGGGATCTTGGGGAGGTTGGAGAGGCGCATTTTTTGATACTTGAGCTTGTTGTTGTTGCTGTTGAGATGCAGTGAACCCATGTAGAGACCCTTAACACTTGTGAAGTAGAAGGCTTTGTCTCTCTTGGAAAACATGATATTAGAGGCTGGATATAGAGGTAAAGAGGTCTCGATGTGAGTCCACTCTGAGTCCCAACAAGGCTTGCATACACTTAGGTGACTTCCACAGAACTTTGCAGCCACAGTAAAGTCTTGGTCTTGGTCAATAGACTGAGACGAGAGAGACAATTCAGTAGAATAATGAGTAGGATAAAAACCTAGGGAAGGCAGAGGTATGACTCTTGGGGATGAGACACATGGCTTGTAGACATCAGTGAGATTTACGGGCAGATCTTTAAACTCCATAGAAGCAACCCATCCTTGCGATGCTCCTACACATGTTTGACCAAGCAGCTTCTTGGGAAACTTCTTCTTGCAGCTAGTCACAACTTGTTCTGTACTAGGGTCGAAAACTCTGTAATTTACGATTTTTCCACCATCCGAAGACTCTCCAAGAATCTTGTCGCTCAAAAAGCAACAAGGTGACGATGAGAAGAATCGAGCACTGGCCAATCTGCGTGCCTGTCAAGTTTCCATGGAATGATATTTTATTAGATACATCATCAACATAAACAGTTTTGAATTTGCAAATTTGGTATCGTGTCTTACAGAGAGATTCGAGAATCGGCTGATAAACAGAGACATTGTCTTCTTCCTTTATCTCGAAGAAAAGATAACCCTAATCGGCTCACTCCTCTTTCTGAATCCAGAAGAAAAGAAAACCCTAATTCCTCTTCTCTCTTATAGAAAGAACACATCTGTGGGTTATAGAAAGACCACATCATACCTCGTTGGCTTTGGAAAACTCCCATTTCCTTAAATGCAAGATCCCAAAAATGGAAAATTGTCACATCGATTCTTCCAATCTTCAGTGTATTATTAATGATGACTTAGCTCAATTAGGGTTTTCCTTGTTGCAGAGGCAACATTGACCCCCTTTTGACCACAACCTAACTTGTACATCAATAAGTGCAACGCATTTTTACTCTCGATAAATTTTTAGGCCCTTTCCATCTCTTAAAAGCCCAGTTCCACTGTAAGCCCAATTCGATGTTTTATCACGGTGATTGTAGCTGGCGCTGATCGTTTATGCCGTTAGAATTCGGTCATGTTTGCGCATATACACATTTGCTTATCTAATAACTACCTTTTATTTGATAACTAATTTGCTCTAACTGTTAACTGTAATAAAGATGATGAAATGGTTTAATTTTAAGTGTGCATACTTGAAAACATTTCAATTAAAAAATGAAAATGTTGCAAAGCACAACACAAAGTGTTGACTTGAATCATAGGATAACAACATTTGTTATTGTCATGGAGATGGTGGTTGAGTATGCTTTGGTAGGATAGTGAAAGGATTGTTAAATATCTTATGTTTCGTTAGTCTCCCCTTTGTACCATATTATAGACTCTTTTCTGCGAATCACTCTCAATTAACGTCTATCGTAAATTAAATTCAACTAGCAGAGAGACAGAGAAGTTAACTCTTTATCACCTCTCAAACCGTTTCCATTGAAAACCTATATAAAAAATGAAGAATATCTAAGACTAAGTTAACCACTAAGAGTGTACCTATATCATTTGGTAACTCAGGCGAATAGAACTATATATATGGTTACAGGCCTGCATTTGCTCAACTGCTTTCTCGGTGGGGTTCAATGGCTCAACCTACGGCTATTTCAAAGGAAAGAGGGGGTTTAGGCAGGGAGATCCTCTTTCTCCCTACCTCTTTGTTTTAGATATGAATTGTCTGTCACATGCTCTTAACAAAGCTGCCCTAAATGGACGATTCAAATACCACCCTAAGTGTCAAAGAACCAAACTTACTCACCTTTGCTTTGCAGATGATCTTCTCATCTTTACAGATGGCTCAGTCCAGTCAGTTGCTGCTATACTGGAAGAGTTAAAAAAATTCGAATCAAGATCTGGTCTAGCTATTAGCATCTAAAAAAACTTGTCTCTTCTCTGCAGGGTTGAAAGATGATAAATTGAATCAGATCAAGAGAGAAACTAATCTTACTTCTGGAACCCTCACAGTTCGTTACCTTGGGGCAGAAAGAAATTATCTATATTGCAGTGTGCTACTCTCATCCAGTCAATCAAGTCGAAGCTGCACTCTTGGACAGCCAAATCCTTATCTTATGCTTGAAGGTGACAACTACTTTCAACGGTAATCGCAGGAATTACAAACTTCTGGTCAAGCACCTTTATCCTGCACAAAGGATGTATTTCAGAAATTAACTCTCTCTGCTCAAAGTTCCTTTGGAAGGGTAAAACAGATGGTCACTCTTCGGCAAAAGTATCTTGGGAAAACATTACTCAAAGCAAAGAAGAAGGAGGCTTGGGATTGAAAGACTGCTTGTGCATTAAAACTTATCTGGATGCTCTTCTTTCACCAGCAATCGATTTGGGAAAATCTTGGTAAGTCACTGAGGTCCTGGACAGCAACATCAATAATTTCTGGATCATCAACACCAAGCGGAAACGAAACACTCATGGTTGGCAAATCAATTGCTTCAGGACTACTTGAGGGGAGAAAGCTCAATGCGACTTGGTATTCCTCAGATGACAACCTTAGCAGAGCTTTGGGAAGATGGAAGTTGGGTTATGCCTCCTGCAAGATCAGAAGCACAAGTCAGAATTCTCTCCTTTCTATCAACTATTTCAATCCAGGATATCTACGAATGGTGGCCAAACAACAACAAAAGATTAGCACAGGTTCTGCACGTATCACCTTATCAGAGACCATAAGCCAAATGTGGAGGTATGGTTCGCTGGAGTGGAGACACAAATTCGTCACTTGGTTAATGGTCCTCAACCGATGCGCAACAAGAGACAGACTTCTCCAATGGGGAATCCAAACCGACCCATCTTGCCTCCTCTGCAATCACAGTCAAGCCATTGCGTAAACTTCTTCTAGAGCGTAAGAACAGATTCCATAGAAATCGCTTCAAATCTCTTGAAGTGGTTGGTTACAAAGGAAATCGATCTTCTCGTATGAAACAGAATTGCAAGCATCCGTTTCTCCATCAAGCTTCTTCGATGTTGGAGCAATGGTTCTCTCCTTCATCAGCGACCGTTCCATCTTCTTCCTCTTCTCCTCTGTCTTGTCGACTCCGTCACTTTGCACGACAAACTATGGATCATCGTGGGCTTAACTTCTCTTCATCATTGGGCTTTTCTTTTTATTCTATTTGCTTCTTTTATTTTGTTGTGTATTGGGCTATTTAGCTAACTGGGCCTGAATGGCTGTGTACCAATTTTATTCTCATGCATTTAATAGTAAATCTTTTATCAAAAAAAAAAAAAACTACATAATTAATACTATATGTTACATAAAACCAAAATCTGTAAGATATATAAATGATCAATCAAACAAGGGTTTATTCCTGGTTGTTATATAATTATTAGGAGTTCAGGATTCAAAATAATATTCGCAAATTACAGAACTAAATATAGTTTTTATAAGATACAATACAAATAAACGAAGAGAAATGTTGGAAGAAAAAGGATCCAATACAATTCAAAAATGATAGACAATAGAAAAAAGGAATAATAAACACTAAAACGTCGCAGTTGACATTATTCGACATAATGCATACATTAATAAAGTTGAAGTTGACATTTTTTCGACATAATATTTCCTTTATATTTTTACAGAATGTTACTTTAATTTTCCACCTACCGACTTATCTGGTATCACAATACATACACCTGACACAAGATTCTTGTGATTCATTATTACTACGATCTTCAATTTTATATTTCACTTTCATTTCTAGAAAAACATTTTTTGTTTTGACACCTTCTAGAAAACATTTTGAAGGTACTGATACAAGCCTTTTATATTATATGGTTTTTCATAACTGTGTAGCTTCTTATATATATAACAAACATCTTCATCAAGAGAAAAAGTATACATTTATATCGATTTACAAAAGAAACAAAAATGTTATAAGAAACGATTAATTTATTTATAGACATGTGTGTATATATTCTGCTACTCCTATATGTTTTCTTTTTGTAGACACGTAAAAAGAAAAGTAAGAAGAAACATGAACGCAAAAACGATTGAGAGAAAAGGATGGAATAACAAATTTGAAAACGAGATTTTTAGTAGTATTATTATCTGGACATTCATATATCTGCGTTGGTATCACTCAACATCTTATATAAAGGAACATGTATCATTTAATATAAGCAGCATCTAAGTAGATATGAAATCCATGATTCTAGTCTCCAAAATTATTTTGCTTTTGGTTATCCAAATCTCATAGGAAAAGCGGTCGATCTATAGTTTCTAAAAATTCAGCAAAATTAAATCTAACTAATAACTAATGGAGAACAAGTTCAAGAAAATTCCATTAATTTATTTGATGAGCGATTGGACGGTTTCGTGTAATAATTATCAAATTGTAACATAAACGCTAGAGGCCTTTGGAAATGCAAGACAGCAAATGGGTTGGTTTGAAGAAAATGAAAAGCAGTAATTACATTTATAAATAAATAAAAAAACAGTAATTACGGAGTATAAAACACGTGTCTCAATCGAAGTAAATAACTTGGCTTTCCATTTTTCCAAAACGTAAATAAGAAATATCTTTGCAAATCTTCGCATATTTATGGTTTCCCTACTTTGGCCTTCTTTTTTTTCCAGACGAGACCTGAGAGATCAGAGCTAAGGAGTAACCATTTCGGGAATCTGTCTCCTAAATCTCAGAGTGGTTCCGCATGAGAAACTGGGAGAAGGATGGATACCAACCGAATCTTTACTCTTCATAATGACCATCTTGATCTTATTCTTCATCTTCTCCGTCTATATAAAGTGGAGCGAGAGCACCGGATTAAACACCACTTTCCAAAGTAATCACATAGTTTCAAAGATGAAAGGAGTAAAGTCACTCACCTCTGTTTTCAGCAAGTCTTCTTCCACTCATCCCAAGAGAGTTTTCTCTGCCATTTCCCAATCTGAAAATCAGCGGCCTCCAACACCAGAAGATGACGATTTGATTGGTCCATTCATCTACCCCAGCAACCTAGGCCGCCGTGGCAACGCCTTGAAGAAGAAGAGTGAAGAGGAAGATGATGATGATAGCTCTGAGAAGAGTCAAGATGATGACGATGACGCTGATGACAAAGACAGTGGCAGCAATACCTACGGACGAGACTTGTACCAGCATTCAGGTCCTTTCAGAGGCAGCCCCATCTTACTCCCGAGACACCCGAGCTCCGTTTATATCAGTGGTGGTGCAACCATCGGGAAAGGGAAGGGACCATACGGTGATGGTAATGAGCAACAAGGCCAGTCTAGCAACCATGGAGGAGTTTGCAATGGTTGTAGCTTGTGCGGGTGCTCGGGATGTAAGGGTTGCAGTGGAGACTACCGTAACTGTCCCGGATCTGGCCGCAGTGGAGGAAATTAGCTATCTCGGTTAAGGAGTTGGAAATGGGTGGCTTCTACGGTTTAGGTGTCTTAGTTTGGTTAGTTGTTTCTAAATCAAGTGGTCACACCACATTGTTTCTCAATTAAGTAGACTTGCCACGCTGTTGTCGCTGTTATCACTTAGTTTAGTTTGTTGTTTCTAAAACAAGTGGTCTAACCACATTGTTTCTCAATTAAGTAGACTTACGACATTGTTGTCTGTGTACTACTTAGTTTGGTTTGTTGTTTCTCAATTAAGTGGTCTCTCCACATTGTTTCTCAATTAAGTAGACGTATCACATTGTTTCGTTGTTATCACTTAGTTTCTGAATGTATCTTTTTTTACAATTAAGCAACTCGTTACGGTTTACTTGCATGTTATCAGGTTTGTGAGACTAAATTTTATGTATGGACATTTCTGTGTTGTCATTCTTCTTCTATGAAGTTTGTTAGATGGTAAACGAAGCAGAAATTGAAGAAGAGAATCGTAAAATCAGAGAAATTGCGCCTGAAATTGCATATCTCTCACTCTATAACTCTCTCTCTCTCTCAATCTCTGTGTGTGTTTCTCTGTTTTTTTGATGAAACCATAACAACGATTACACATAGAGAGAAGAGAAGGCTCGAGACTCTATATTTATAGACTCATCTTATGTGTTTGGGATCAAAGTTTCCTTTTCCACTCTTTTGTGTTGTTTCCTTTTTTTTTTTTAACACAACGGTCAAGAAAGCAAAGTATCTAATCGTATCTTCTTATATACAACGGTCGTATAATACTCTTTTCATGTTGTGTTTCCTTTTTTTAAAACAAATCTTTTGTATTGTTTCCTATTTCACTTGGGTTCGAGAAAGTTTAGAGCAAAAATAGATACGTCTTTTACCATAGCCAAGATTCTAAAGCAAAGAAGAAAAAGATACTCGTGTTCAGGATTTCAATACTGAGATGGAATCAACTAAGGCAGAGGCTCATGATTTGCTAAAGAAGCAATGGATGCTTTGGAAGAGGTAGCTACGGATTGTGACCAAATGAAAGAGAGCGCTTCTGATTGCAGAAACAGAGCTTGAGGCTACAACGGAAGGAGAAACTCGAGGAAAGAAGATGAGAATAATTCACTTCTTGATGATGAGAACAATAGGCTTTGCTTGAAGCTCTTGTTGCTGCTTAGAATTTGAGCAAAAACGCTAACCAAGAGAATCATAAGCAATAAATATATCATTTTATTATATACTCACAACTCTAGAATTCTTCTGCAAACACACAAAGAGATACAAAATTTTCAGATTTTGCAATTTCCCTTTGAATAAATTGAAAACAGAGTGGCTCTGTTTTTGTGTGTTTACCAAGAAAGAATTGCATTTCTTAAAGGATAATCTTTCTCGGTGTTTTTCATGATGAATTGAAAAGCGTAGTCCAAAGATACAGACAATAACTTAAACCCCTTTTATGTTATGGATACATCTCTATGAATTTGGAAAACACAAGGAGGGGTTAATCTAGTGGCATTCACATAATCTTGAGGTGTATGATTTGAAACACCAGGGACTATTATCCCCATTGCCCTACCACCCTTCAACAACCAACCTTCCCTAAACTCCGATCCCTTCTCAGTCACAATAGTAAAGCTTCTTATAAACTCCAATATAGCAATGTACACCATCTTTATAATCCCCCGCAACGAAAAAAAGTTTTCGTCCGATTGCTCTCTCAAAACCTATAAGTCACTGAAAATAAATTGACTAGTTCCAATGGTAATGAAGTGTGAATAGATAGATATATTTACCTTTGCTTGATAGTCTTGGTCGTAGTAGATGCAAGTGCCAAAGTGTTTGAACATCAAATCCTTATCATCGTACGGCAATCTTGGAACAATGTCGTTATTATAAACAAATCTATAATACTTGACATCATATTCTTCTAATTTCTTCTCCATAAAGTCACCAAACTTGGAATCTCCAACCCTAGGTTGTCCATAAGTATACACCCCTTGAATCCTCTCCAATAACCCGGTCTCGTTGTGAATCACAAGCACAGCCGTGAACAATATCGCGAGGGCTCCTCCTAAGCTATGGCCGGTCAGAACAAACTTAGTGTTTTTGTTCTGAGCGATCAGAGTTTTCAAAGAGTCTCTGATTGAGTAGTAAGCTAAAGGGGATAATCGATCAGGGTTTGGGAGAGGTTCCTTAGGCCAACTACAATTGTTTTGAAGCCCTAGAGCTTTCATGAAACCACCATGGATCTTCCCAATGTTTGGGAGCTCATACCATGTAATGTCGAAATCTGAACACCAATCTTCGGAATTAAACGGTTCTGTGCCTCTAAATGCAACCACCACCGTCGTTTCTTGACCGTTGGATGGTGTTGATGTTTTATCAGTAGACATTATAAAGGCTTGTGTTGTTTCCTTTTCTTGGTACTCTGCTTTAAAAAAAGAAAAAAAAACATTATAAAATTCATTAAATTGATTAAGATTTCTTTTAATATAATCATACCGTTCCAATAGTCAACGAGACCTAAATACTTCATATTCCAATCCAATGATTCTCGACGACATTTTTAATACGGGCAGAGTTTTCGTAGGCAATTTTTGAAGCCATAATGGACAATGCAGCATAGTATTTGTCTCCGTCTTCGCGATTCATCGTCTTGTCTAAACTTATTCTCGTGTCTAAATGTCCGATAAATGACTGATAATTCTCTGACGTTGTTTTCGGCACCACCACTTCTCCTGCATATATATATATATATATATATATATATGTATATCCACAAAGTTAGTATAATTGTATGATTATTGTCATTAGAGAGGAATTAACGGAAATCATCAAGACCTCGGAGAAAGAAACCGGATAAAGAGTTAGCGGAGAGGAAGTTTAAGAAGAATTCTAAGGCGGAGCCAAGGAGAGCTAAAAGCTCGGAGAATAATCGAAGAAGCTTGAGAAGGACGAGAGAGACGAAGATAAGCCATCGACGTCTGAAACTTGGTTCTTTGGTTTCTGAGCTATCGACTGATCTCGGCTTGTCGATATCGCGGGAGAATAACAAACGAAAAAGTTCCCATGGCCGGAGCTCTTCCGGTCGGAGAATCAGATATCCTCTCGGCTCGTTGTCATCGTCGTTGTTGACCATGTTGATTCGATTTTGTGTGAGTGTTATAATATTGTACGAATGCAATTATGTAATGTTTGTACGTATAATTATATATATAATGTGGTGTAGAATGGACCGTATTGTAGATTTGGAATATACTTGGAGTTGTGGAAAACGAGATTTGGATTATTTTTTGCAAAGGTGATCTACACATTTGGTTTTGGAATATGAATGTTTCACGTGAGGTTGATACAGTGCCGGCTCAGATATAGGGGCGGGCGGTGCGACGGCCAGGAGCCCAATCCCGTGTTCCAATAACTAAGGGACCCATTTTTAAAAATACTTTTATAAAAGTATTAAAAAATTAAATTACAACATAAAAATAAAATTTATAAGGGCCCATAAATTTTTTTATTTACTGTTTTTTGTTTTAGTAATTAAATTTTTATTAAAAATATCATACAAAAAATTTTTATAACACAAAAACACTATAAAAAAAATTCTAAGGGTCCAAATTTTTTTTTGCCCTACGGCCCGTCAAAGTATTGAGCTGGCACTGGGTTGATAATCGTAATTTTATGGGGAAAAATTCACTCTGCTTTCCTCTTAAAAATAAATCATCAACGGTAACCTATAATATAGTGGGCCTAAATTTGGGCTGTAAATATAAGCTATGTGGCCCATTGAATAGTGATCTTTCTACCGATGTGATCAGTATATTATATGGATCCATATTGATGGTATTGTACGTGATCCTTTTCAAATCTCTATATACGAGAGGAAATATTCTGATATCCATATCATCAAAATGAAAACATTATCTTCTATCATATTTTTGTTTTTCATATGTCGTGTGAGATGCACCGGAAAATTATAAATGAGTACATTTAACATAGCACAAGAGATGTAGATGCGAGTAGTCAAAGAATGTACCAAAATCCAAAAATCAACAAAAACAAAAAAAAATAGAAAGAGGAATAAGATAAATAATATAGAATACAAAATAAATAAAATTGGGATCTGCATTGCCAACACCTACCCATTTTAAAAGCTTACTATTTTATACTCCCTCCGTATTTTAATAATTGTCGTTTTAAAATTTTTATTTTTTTGAATTGGATGTCGTTTTCAAATTTCTATGCAAAATTTATTACTTTTTAATGTTTTATGACATCATAAAACATTAAAAAGTAAGAAATTTTGCATTGAAATTTGAAAACGACATCTAATTTTTTAAAAAAGAAAATCCTAAAACGACACTTATTAAAATACGGAGGGAGTATTCAACAAAATCAAAATCTTTATCAACCCACCTATTTGCTTGTCCCCATTCTTTCCCGAATTTTACTACTTTTTTTCTTTTCAAATTACTTAAATGAGTACATCTACATTTTCGTTTTAGGACGTTTCTACCTTCTAAGTTCTAGATTTTGACTTTTTTTAACATATAGTTTTTTTTTGAAGAAAGTATAAAGTACAATTTGATCCCATATTCGAATTGCATAATTTATTTTACATGCACTTGATATAAAATTATATAAATAGATTACAATAACACCAATAATAACAAAGAAGAGTGCATGAACTTTATCCTGTCACGGAGAACATGAGAATTTATCCTGGAAAAAAAAAATGAGAAAGAGAAGAGGGAGGGAAAAGGCATTAAGAAAAGATAATACAAGAAAGGGAAAAAAAAATCAAAATTTCTTCAATATTTCAAGAGAAAACAAAAGAACAAATAAAAAAAGAGGAAGATGATAGAAATGTGTCAGAAGAATACAGAGCACTTGCCCAAGAAGATATTATAAGAAAATGTCTATATAAATCTAATCTTAAGGATATTGTAATGATCAGAGACTCTCTGTGGTGATGTTGGGACCTTTGCGGGATATCTCACGTGGGACGATTTTTTATTCAATAACCAAACAACTATGTAATATTCTATGGGGTGAATATTTTATTTATTTACTAGATTGTGTGAAAATAATTGGATTGATTTATTTTTCCGATAATTGGGTTGATTTAATTTAATTATTAATATAAAGTGGGTTGTTAGTGGAGCAACAAGTATAGATGATGCTTGGGACATGAACACGATTCTATTGCTACCTTGCCTTGGGAGGCAGCCTATCTCAACTTTGGTACATTACACATTATTATTTCTTAAAACAAATAAACTATATGCTATTTGTTTCCGGTATTCAAATTTGGTTGTATATTTTTTACAAGTGCTCGTCTCATTGATGTATTATCATTCGGATTTAAATTCCACGTAATGTATGTTATTGACCCAAAAATATAAAAATAACCAAATTCTATATATGTGTGTGTTTCGATGTATTTGGAGTTCTCAACAGTAGATTAATATTTGTTGTTGATGATTATAAACAACGACGTTTTCCGAACAGTCGAATATCAAAATGTTCAAAATTTTCTACTCATTTCCAATTGGATATGATTAGTTACAACGCGATCATCGAATATAAGCGATCAATATCAGAATTATCAACATACAATGGACTAAGAGACAGCTTGGCCACTACCATGCAAAGGTTAACCAATCATATTCATATCTTTTAGACATGTCGATGTATATATGTCTGTGGTCCTTCTGAAGTTTTTTTTTTTCTTTTATTTACTCATCCTTTGTTCCCACTGTGCTGTCACATAGATTCTTCACAGATCTTTCGAGAGAGAAAAAAAGGGAACAACAAACCGAAGGTCATAATAAAGTCCCAAGACTCTATGAAACAAAGTTGTGAAAAAATTCCGATCTGTAATAATCGAAATGGACCCGTATTTTATCTTCTCGTTTTTGAATTCCAAAGTTTATATATTGACTATATATATACCTTGGATTTTTACTTACTTAATAGTCGATTATTATTACAAAGTGCTTCTAATTGGAAATGATACAAGTTATAATCAATCACATAGCAACAATATGAAAATAGCTATATTGGTACCCATATTATTACTATTAAATGTGACGATAAGTGAAGACAGTTTTCACAGACGATGAAGTATTAATTGTAGTGAGTAGGGCAAAAGTGAAAAAGTGGACTAAAACCGGTTTCTTGATTGAGAGAGTGAGGGCAGTGAAACGTCAACGTTTTTCGTGAGATTTTGCATGTTTTGGTGTCAACATAGGAGGGTAAAACAAAGATCGAAGCACTTGCTCTGTCTGCCTGTTTTCATCTAATCATGGGGAAGAACCATCTAAAAAGAAAATCAGAGTTATATGTAAATAAACTAGAAAACAAAAACCAGTCTTAAATGTGATTTTGTACAAATAAAGTGAGACAGATCTTGAAAGAACAGTGAGAACTTGTGGTGTCTTTTGGATTTTGTGTATTTTTAAGGTAAGAATCATTTATTGTCATTTTGATTAAATTAATTAAGACGCTGCTTCTTGTTTACAGACATTTATTTTTAGTTTGTTTTCCATCATTATTAGTAATACTTAACGTAGTTTCCAACACAAAATTATAGTACTACATAATTCGTGAGATACCTTATGTGGGAGATTACTCGGAAGATAAAACTTATGAAAATAAGAAATGATCACTATTATTTTTCTATAGCCATTTGCAAATTAGTTATAAGAAGAAAAAAATCTCCACTTTGTTGGGAATGATATCGGGTTGTCAGATGCAGCAGATGATGATTCTTCAGTTTTCGAATTCATCATAAAATGCTTTGGTTAAAAAAGCAATTTACAATAAAAAAAAAAAGTTGACAATTTTCATAAAAACTGAAAAGCACCTTCGCCAGAAGGAAAGTCAGTGGCGGTAAGCAACAAAAGTATTTAATAAAATCTACCATATCAAAAAAAAACAAAAAAAATGCATAATTCGAAATTATAAGAAAGTGAGGAAAAAAATACTACAATAAAATAAAACAAAAGAAGGAATGAATTCGTTCTCAGATCGGCTTTGAGAAGCGTGCCATAAGCTAAGGCTCGATGTCAATTGAATTTGAGATCCGATTAATCATCCTCAATTATTTCTTATCTACTATACGTTTGTTCGTCCACCATTTGTTATATACACACACACAAGTATTAATATATTAACCGTTCTCGTTATGAGTCTGAATTAATGTGTTAATTTAAATCTAACCAGAAGTTTTTTACAGAATAAAATACTGCTCCCTGGATTCTGACATATCTCATGTGGATGTGGGGTAATCTTATACTAAATCATATGCCTCTCTCTCTCCTATTATAATATTTTGGTTAAGTAACCATTTTTCTTGGATTGAAGAAACACTTTTGTTGATTAATACTACAAAACCAGTGGATAATCTTATACTCCAGCTAATATATGAAACCTAAACCATGACGGTTTTCGCATACACTTTTGCTAATGAGGGCAAAAGTTTTGATTATGGAATGAATAAAATAATAATGGTGGAAAAAATGGAAAACTCGTTGTTGTGCTTGTGAGACCGGTTCATGCACCTTGCTTTGTCGCGTAACGCGTTATGCCTTTTGCGATCAGTGGGTCTGAAAACCAATAGATGTAAGCCACGTGTTTACAACAGACATGATCTGGACGGTCGATAATGCGATGAAAGAACCATATGGTCAATCCTTGCGTGAATCGACGGTCATTATCGATCCTCATAAATGGAACCATTTTCCTTACTTCTTTTAGCCTTTTTTTACTTGTTTATATTTTTGGATCCATGTTATGTTACGCAATAATTCTACTTATAGTAACTCCTATACATGTACACACTTTTTCATAGCCTCTAATCTATTAGCAACCGAATTAAATCTTTACGATCTAGTAGCTCGTTTTATAAATAAATATTTTATAACTATATATTAATGATTTGTTTTATAAAATGGTTGGGAATTTTACAAGTTAAAAGATGAGGGATAAAATCCACCTCAATATTTTACTTGGCTTGTTAGATAACCTATAGGTCCTATATTACTAGTTGATATATGATATTACATTAGTAAGTTTGTCCGAATGCATGTGGAATTTGCACTTAGACAAGAAGACAAATTTTGACATTGAATATATACATATATGCCCATAAATAGGAGAGTTGAAAATGGGAAGAAATTCCTTTTTATTATATATATGTAGTATAAGTTAAAGAAGATGGATGGGCCATAAGTTGCTATATAAATCCTTCCACTTCTTGTTGTATACTATTGCTTGAGTTCTGGTTGGGCACAGTAGTACCATTGCCATTTCTTTCACACATACCGTCTCTTTCTCTCATCATCAATCATCCAAAAGAAAAACCCTAAAATTTCACTTGTAAGCTTTTTACCAGTTTCTCTCCATACCCATTTCATCAGCTTCTCCATATCTTTCTCTATGGATTCTGACATAATGAACATGATGATGCATCAGATGGAGAAGCTTCCTGAGTTCTGTAACCCTAATTCCTCTTTCTTCTCTCCCGACCACAACAACAACAACAACAACACTTACCCTTTTCTCTTTAACTCAACTCATTACCACTCCGACCAGGCAATGACCAACGAACCAGGTTTCCGGTACGGTTCCGGTTTACTCACTAACCATTCTTCTATCTCCCCCAACACAGCCTACTCTTCCGTTTTGCTTGACAAAAGAAACAACAGTACCAACAACAATAATAGTACGAACATGGCAGCTATGCGAGAGATGATCTTTCGCATCGCCGTGATGCAGCCGATACATATAGATCCCGAGGCGGTTAAGCCACCAAAGAGGAGGAACGTCAGGATCTCTAAAGATCCACAGAGCGTGGCGGCTAGGCATAGAAGGGAGAGGATAAGCGAGAGGATTCGGATTTTGCAACGGCTTGTTCCTGGTGGGACGAAGATGGATACAGCTTCGATGCTCGACGAAGCTATTCATTATGTGAAGTTTTTGAAGAAACAGGTGCAGTCGCTGGAGGAGCAGGCGGTGGTTAATGGCGGAGCAGGAGGAAGGGTTTTGATCGGTGGAGGTGGAATGACGGCGGCGAGTGGTGGTGGTGGCGGCGGAGGAGTGGTTATGAAAGGGTGTGGAACAGTGGGGACTCATCAGATGGTGGGCAATGCACAGATTCTTAGATGATGATGATTTTAAATTTTATTATTATTATATTAATGTTTGAGAAAAGAAAAAAATGATTCTGGTGAGGGAAGAATTAATTTATATGAGAGTCTTTTAACTTTTTTTTTATTTTCTTGTTTAGATAATGTATGTGATGGTTTAGCCAAAGACTCTCCATGGTTGTTGGAGCGAGTTGTAAATTAGGAACTATTATCATCGTATCCTTGTTAATCAAATAATTAAGCTTCAGGCTTGTGTTCACTTTTTCTTTGTCTAAAACTAAAATCTCGGCCGTTTTCAACATGCTAATATCGGTACTTTTGTTTCTTAAATTTAAATTTTCATTTCAAAAATTGAGTGTACTCTTATACTTGAACTTGATAATACAACTAACAAAAAACATTAAAAGTCCTTGATTTTTTTCTTTTCAATTGCTAATATTTAATTTGATAGATTTGAAGAATAAATTAGCATCATCATTAAATGATCAATAATAATTTAAAATTATATAAAAATAATTACTAAATTTATTTTCACTTAAAACAAAATCTTACAACTAATTTTGGTCTAAACAATAATTTACATTAATTAAGATGCGATAAAACAAATATTAAATAAATATTTACAAATTTCAACTGGGCCTTGGCTTTTTGTGGACATTCAGGATTGGTCTTTTTTTCTCATTGTTTTCACGATTAAGCTATATTCAGGAACCATCCGAAAGAATTTTAAAACACAACCAAGCCTATTTTGATGAAGCCGACCCAATGAAAGCCCGGCCCATTAAACTCTCATTAAATCAGGCCAATGATCCAAGGGCTCACAACCAATCATTCTCAATTCTCTTATCCTGCACCGTGTCCCACCAGATCACTCATCGTCACACTCACACACCAAAAAAAAAAGCACAAAGCTCGAGGAGGTCCATAAATGGCGCATTTAATTAGAACCCTCAAAATCTTCACAACTGTAAAACCCCAATCACCTCTTTACATGTGACTTCCTTATTTCTCTCTTCTTCTTATTTGCTTCTTCGCTCTCGTTTCCTCCAACAATCTCCATGGCAGCTCCGTCTCTCAATCTCCTCCTCATTTTCTCTATTCTCGTCTTCATTTCACTCCCGAGATCTGAATCTCTCTCCGATAATCCATCTCTCGTTCTTCTACCCGACGGATTCGACTGGCCGATCTCTCACTCCGACGAATTCGACCTCATCGACGGTGAAGAAAGCTTCGAAGTCGCGGAGGAAGACGACGGCGGCGGCGTAGATCGACGGTCACTGTACTGGCGGAGGACGAAGTATTACATATCGTACGGTGCATTGTCGGCGAATCGAGTGCCGTGTCCTCCCAGATCTGGAAGATCGTACTACACTCATAACTGCTTCAGAGCTAGAGGTCCCGTTCATCCGTACAGCCGAGGCTGCTCGTCGATCACTCGATGCCGGAGATAGAAGAAGAAGAAGAAGAAAGCTTGAAACTCCATGGGCATTTTCGTAATTTGGCCAACCAATGGATTAATTATTGTGATGTTTGTATTTGTTAATGTTCCATGTTACTAGATTTGAACCCGCGGTACACCGCGGGGCTATAATTTTTTAAAAAAAATTTAAAATATAATTTGTTTTGTTTATTAATAGAGAGGATAATATATTATTTTTATTTTTGAAATGTACCATCCATATATCTATATTAATAGTTTTGAGTATATTAATTGTGTTTTAGGTTTACTGGTATAAAATATAGTAAGTGTAATGAATAGTTCAGTAAGTAACGCTTAGACCAAAAACAACATATATATATATATATATATATATATATATATATAAATTTTTGTATAATGTAGCAGTCATAGTTTGTTAATTATATTGTTAAATTATGTAATTGAAGTTAAATATTATTTGGTTTTCTCATTTTGTTTGTTTGTAAATTTTATAATATATCTCTTTAATATAGATAGTTTTGTTGTGAAATGGAAATATTAGAGATGACAATTATGATTTGTATAATAGTTATAGTTATAACTCGAATTTTTTAAAACTTTGATTATTAAACTGAACCAATTTATGTAATTAATTTATTTATTAATTATTTTGTTGTCAAAAAAAAAAAAAGTAAAGTATGTTGATCTTTAAAAAAACACATACATTAGGACATATCTACAAAATTGAATTTCATGTTAAAAGGAAGAGAAAAAATTATTAAATGTAGAAGTCAACAAAAAAAATATAATAATAATTAAATGTTTAATGTTGTCGGCACAGACTTATCATCTTCTTTCCTCACAAACAATTTCACTCTTCTTCTTCGAACATCTCGATTTCTCTAATCACAAATTCGTTGTCATAAGGAGATGAAGGTTAAATCGATTTCTTCGTCTGATCAATCGAATAGATCAACGATACACCGATTGTTTGCTACGAATTCGTGAGTTTCAATAGCTATCACCACTAAGCAAAAATTATTTTCCTTTTCTCTTTTACTCTTCGAATCCAGCTCGTTTTATTGCTAATCCTTGTAATTTTATTGTCGATTAGAGCTGTGAATTGAAGATTTCATCACCAATCCCTTCCTTATTGTAAGTACCACGATTTCTCCTCTTTGTCTCCCTCGCTTCAAACCGAAGATGCTTGATTGTAAGATTAAAGCGGAGGAGAAGGATATTAATCAAGCTGAAGAGTGCTCGACCTCCGATTGTTCTTTGCCGAGTATATAAAGGTTATGATTAAGGTGCAGGCAAATGGCAAATTGAATAGATAGAGTCATGAAATGAAAGCGTTTTGTTTTTGGGGACTTGTAAAGTCTCATAATTTTGTTTTGAGCTTCTGCAGATTGAAAAGACACCGCAGAAACATGGTTGCAGGCTGGAACATAATGATACTTACTGTGGTTCTTGCTATGGTGCTGAAGCGGTAGTTGTGTTATCTTTGTGTCTTTATGGAACATTATATTCATTATAGCATATAAATGTTGGTTTGTTTAAAACGTGTTAGCTATAAGATTTATCAATTTTGTGTAGCAGAGGTAGTGATAATTAAAAATTCTCATTGCAAAAAATGTCTGAAGTTTGTGATGAAACTGAAAATAGTACTACTTAGACAAAGAATAACCTGATTATTTTTAAACCTGAATAAAGATCATATATTCAGTTGATAAAGAAGATAGGAACAAAGAGTTTGCAATGACGTAAGGGCTATTTCAATGGATTCGTTTGATGGAGTTAACTATCTTCGTAACTCATAGGACCTCTTACTATGTTTAGCAGCACCCTAAGATAGTACTCATCTTCCATTTTCCTAGGGACATAGTTAATAGGACCCAAAGCAAAACCTTTTGATCTCTTTTTCCACTGCTTATTTTTTCCATCCCAAGTAAAATATGCCGGGATTTCAGAATATAAAAGTTCTCGAGCACGTTTACCTTTCTTTCCAAGAGCATTTTTCCTATTCAAAGTCAACCAAGCCATGAACATTGAATCTTCATTGCTTATACGTTTGAGAACCTCATCAATCTGAGCGTTTGGAGCAAAAGTAGAAACCATTGCTATGAGGTAAAAGTATTCAATTTCGGGTTAAAGAGCTTTTGAGTTTTGTGAGAGGTATTGGTGCTTAGTAGTAGAGTATATATAGGGAAAAAGAATTAGGTTACGTACCGATTAATTTTTGGAATAATATCTTTGAGTATATTGTTTGTTAGGAATATACCAGTTTTATGCGGTTGGAATTAGGAAATTGATTTGTTAAAGATTAATGTTGAAGATTATTAGGTAGATATTGGAATCTATATATCTATTTTGGATGGTGCACATTCAAGATTTCGTGGGATTTATTGTTTTGAATTAATTATATTGGAAAAGAAGAAAGTTGGGAGATATGTAATTGTGATAACGTAATTTAGTTTTGTTAGGATGCTTATTTTATGGCAATATAGCAAATCGTTTTTTAGGAGATATTTTTTAATATCTATGTGGATTAATTTAAGGAAGTTAATTAATATTGAGTTGGTTTTGATTTCCTAGATCTGTTGCTTATATTGTCTCATAATTAATAACGAATTTCTTTTATTGTTACAGGAAAAAGAATCGGAAATATCCGATTGAAACAATATTGAATTGGTTTTGATTTCCTAAATCTATTTTGTATATTGTCTCATTAATTTATAACGAAATTCATTTATTGTTGGAGGCAAAAATTTCGGAAATATCCGATTGAAACAAACCGGGTCACTCGTTTTTAAAAAAAAACCCACCCAACCAATGGCATTCTTTGTAAATACATCCCAACTCCAGGATTTATTTGCTAAAAGTCATCCAAAAATGTATATATAGATTTGTAAACCGTGATTAGTTACGTTCGCTAAACTTAAACCCGGTGATTATTATTTCGAGTTCTTGCTATAGAAATGGTAACTACTAAATAGTCGTGAGGGGTGGATTGGTAATTTGCTACGGATCCTTGTGGGTTTTTTGTCGGTGGCTTTTTAATTATTTGTTTGTACTGTTTAAATCCGGGGTCACATGTATTTGGACTTATTTGAATTTCATCATGTTCCAGTTTCCATATCATCTGACCGGAATTCCATCTAAATATGGGTCGACCGTTGTTTTGGATTAGTTATTGGGCCTTTGTTATCATTGTATCGTTGTTATTGTTGGGCTTTTACTTTGGCCCAATTTAGAAATTGGGGTCTAGGTCATGTACCTATATCTGTATGAGAACAAAACAAAACAAACGCAATTCAGTTAGAAAATGTCTATATAAAAAAACAAAAGCAATACATGATCATGTATATAATCATGCTAAATAGAATGTTAAGTTTTATGCACATATATAAAAACTCTACAACATACATATATAGGAGGTTGCATATAAGCTTCAATGTGAAATCACAATCGAAAGTTCATAAACACGTCGGTGGAGGTGTGATTGCAGGAAAAAAGTCATATTCAGAATAACATATGTTAACACTTAGTTCTACCACGTGTTAATATGCAGAAAAAAAATCGTTTTCAAGCTTCCAGATACTTAATTTTGTAACCTAACAAATATACCGTATATCATAATACATGCACGTGTACTAAAAAGCTCATCTTATCGTGAATAGTCAAGAGATGGCTTGTGCCTTTTCTTACAAAATTTCAAACATGGAAGAAAAGTTTTAAACGACTTGTATTTGGTATGTTTTAGGATGACCTTTGACCCACCTTGATAGTTCAAATCATAAGAAACATGTTTAAATTGAAATGCATGAACTTACGTTTGGCGGCTGATTATGCGTTTGGTTTAAGATGGCCAAAATTTGAATTTAATAAAGAGACTAATCGTCCTTGTCCTAAAAGATATATATTTTCGTTTGACTTTTAGTATATACGTAGAAACAAAAACTAAAGATTATGCAATGATAAAGGGTGTGATATGACGTTGCCCTCTCCCTAATTCAAAGGGGTCAATCTAAATTCCATTTTACAAGGAATATTCCAAAACTTTGGATTGTGGATATCTTCAAAGGACCCCTATTGACTTACCTACAAGGGTTAAATCCACTTGGACGTTGAAGTTGAATTCGAACGTGGAATAAACCAACTATTTTGATTCAACTTTAAAATAGAGTCGTGTATGACCCCAACCGATATATACTGTTTATTTTGTATCTTCTACTATACTACATACTTCCACTATAGTAGAAGATAAAGTTATTTTCGTGGTACCACACCATATATTAAAAAGATCTCGAATTTGACGTGATCTTCATGTATAGGAAGATGCCTCGGAAACTATTGAAAACCTACAACTATAACTTAATAAAATTTACATAAAATTAAGTAGTTGTTAAGAGGGCTGCTTAAACCACAAGATATCAAAACTATTGATGGAAATCTCTAAGAAATGAACTGTGGGCCGCCATATTTATCTACTAAATTACATCATTCCCAAATTTATAATAACAGTATAAAAAGCTACCCAAAAAATAGGATAGCATTAGCAAGTCGCCTGCTTCTTTTCCTCGGATTCAGTGAATCATCCAAGTCGCCTGGGCGGTGTTGGTTCATATCCATTTTACATTCACAATTCTGTGTGTTTCCAATAGTATATATACAAAAGAGGGAATCATTTTTTTTTTTTTTTTGGTAAAAGAAAAAAAAAAAAAAGAGGGAATCATTTTACATTGATAAAGATTCTTTTAGTTAATAGCCAAAGCAAGTTGTAGTAGACATGCTCGTAGAGATCGCAACTCCACCCAATCTAATGGCTATGGATCACGTCCATGTGACGCTTTCTTACAATATATAAATAGTCGGAGTATATGATTGGTTCATATGGACGCATTCTTTTATTTTCCCACTTAGTTTTGAAGTTCCACTTCTACAGATTCTAAATAAATGAAGCATGTGATGGTAATTAACGGTGTTACTACTTCCATTTATTCCACAAAACAACCTTCCTTTTTTTTTCCTTCAACTTGTCTTCGTCTCGATCTTCGTTAGGCTCCGTTTCAACACCAATGATCTTTTTTTTTTGTTCTTATAACGAAAATATCACAGAGAATAAGTATATTTAAATTGAATATAGTATTATTGTTTATGTCTTGAAAATAGAATAAAAATCAGAGCCGCCGCAACTTGCGAAAGTCTGTTGGGGTCGAATGACTTCAGTGCGAAGCACCCCCTTCCGCTCCCGCGCTTTTCTTGGCCATTTTAAAAATATTAATTTAATTGTCACCAGACTCTCACCACACATGAAAATGAAAAAAAAAAAAAACTATAAATTTAAAATTAAAGTATAAAATCCTTTAATGTTTTTTATTTTAATGATTTAATGAAGTCATGCCCATTGGAATCCAGGCTTGGACAGGCAAGTTGGCCATGAAGTAAACTACATAAAAGCAATAGAATAATACTAGATAATTTGATTAATCAAATAAAAAATATGATTGGAAGAGTTGTCGGATAAAGTTCTCTTTTATTTCTCCTTTTCTTTTGTTGAAGCATCGAAATCAGTTGCGATACTATTGGAAATGGTAAATTTAAAACATTAAAGTAAAACTATAGAGCTCACATGCCAAGGTTTGGATACTAAATTACTATTATTGTACTATTAAAAATGTTATAATCAGTAGTCGTAAGCAAACATCTTAACAGGTATAACTGTATTTTTCAACTATTGTCTAAATTAACTTTGTTTAATTACTAGAACTAATTAAACAAATCTAAATTAAAATCCCACTTCGCTGTTTATCGCAGTTGGTGCCCTAGTAAGTTATTAATTTATTTTAGAGCTAACTATTATAATTAGCAAACGATACTGTAATTGGGAAGGATAACGGCGGAAAATATCAGAAAAGAAAAAAAATGTTAGCGTTTCCAACGGAAAAGGATTTGATTCTTGGGTTGGTCAAGAGAAACAAAAAAATATGCAGCGCCAACTTGCTTGGTATAGTTTTATATTATCAATGGTCCAAAGAATATCCACATATCTACTTTATTAATAAAAATGAATATATTGGTTGTAGAATAATGGTAACTGGATGGTCATGATTTACAGAGTTACAACTTGCAATAGTAGTGTTTCTGTTCTTTCTTACAGCATCACTAGTTTCATCGTCGCTCAATTTTGTACAAGACTATTCATGACCATAAGATATTGTAAAATCATGTTATGTGTGTATATTATGACTTATGAGCTCAGGACGTAATTAGAGAAGTACTAATAGTGTGATTTATTATAAGGGTCAGGGACAGCTACGAAGGAGTGGCATTTGCGAGGATGATTCTATTCTATGCCTATTCACACAACATATGCAAAGAAGAGAGTCCAGAGCAGAGGCCAAGAAAAGAATATTATCTCTATACAATCTTATTTATTTTTAGTTTTTATTTATTTATTGTTGTTAATTACAGCTACAATAATCGGAAAAATGTGAATAATAAAAATACAGTTTCTCTTCATGTATACATATGCATGTAAGATTGTTTATTTCTTATTTTATTGCAATCTTTTTAAAAAAATCTATAGTACGTTTTCAAAAAATTTGAATAACAGATCACGCTTGTTCTGAAACATAAATGAGTTACATAATTAAACTTGATTCAACGCAAATTCAAAAGAAACTGACTACTATTAGCAACAATAACGATCATGATCCCATTGAATATCAAGCATGTTACGTACTATTTAATAATTACCGGTCAAAAATATAATACTATCTACCTGTTGAGTGACATATTCAAGTTAATACGAAACAATAGTCGTGCTATAATATTTATTTATCCAATATAATAACGAAAATATCACGTAGCTTTTAAAATTTCATTTATAGTTTAACAGCCCCAACAAAGAAAAATCTCTTCTCGTCACGTGCATTAATTACTCCCCAAAATTCAGCCTTTATACATTTAATTATATTATAAAAAAAATAAAAATCGTAACCTCAATTTTTTTTTAATAACAAAAATAAGAAGAAAAAAAATCAGTATAAATTGAGGAACTCGCACCAAGAAGTACCATTAACCGTCACGAGCTTTCGTGCTCTGTTTTTTTTTTTCTCTCCACTCGTTTAAATATTCAATCTTTAGATCAAATTCGATTCAACAAACAAGAAAATTTGAATTCTCTCTCAAATTTCGTCGGAGATTTGTTTCAATGGAGTGGATTCGAGGAGAAACAATCGGATACGGAACTTTTTCTACAGTAAGTCTAGCGACGCCGTCTAATAACGTTTCCGGCGAGTTTCCTCCGTTAATGGCCGTAAAATCTGCAGACTCATACGGCGCTGCTTCGCTGGCAAACGAGAAATCAGTTCTAGATAAACTCGGAGACGATTGCAACGAGATCGTACGGTGTTTCGGCGAGGATCGGACGGTCGAAAACGGAGAAGAGATGCATAATTTGTTCTTGGAGTACGCTTCTAGAGGAAGCTTAGAGAGTTATCTCAAGAAATTAAGCGGTGAAGGTCTACCGGAATCCACCGTACGCCGTCACACAGGATCAGTGCTTAGAGGACTACGACACATCCATGGTAACGGATTCGCTCACTGCGATTTAAAACTCGGGAATATTCTGTTGTTCGGTGACGGCGCCGTTAAGATTGCTGATTTTGGATTGGCTAAGAGAATTGGGAACGTAACGGCGTTAAATGATGGAGTTCAGATTAGAGGCACGCCGTTGTATATGGCGCCGGAGTCTGTTAACGATAACGAGTACGGATCAGAAGGTGACGTGTGGGCTTTAGGATGTGCTGTAGTTGAGATGTTTAGTGGCAAAACGGCATGGAGTTTAAAAGAAGGATCGAACTTCATGTCGTTGTTGATACGCATCGGTGTTGGTGATGAGCTTCCGATGATTCCCGAGGAGTTGTCGGAACAAGGAAAAGATTTTTTGTCAAAGTGTTTCGTTAAAGATCCCAAAAAGAGATGGACGGCTGAGATGCTTCTACACCATCCATTTGTAGCCGTCGATCTTGATTACGACGGTTTAGTAGAAGAAGAAGACTTCGTTGTTAAGCTGAAAACAGAGGAAGTCTCGTCATCGCCGAGATGTCCATTCGAATTTCCCGATTGGGTTTCGGTTTCTTCCGGTTCACAAATGATCGATTCGCCGGAGGAGAGAGTTACGAGTTTGGTGACTGATTTGATCCCTGATTGGTCTGTCACCAAGAGCTGGGTCACCGTACGGTGACGATAGTGATTAAAAAACAGGGGACAAAAACAGAGTTGCAGAGAAAGGCTAGAGCTTTTTTTTTAATTCCTAGTCAGATCCAACAATTCTAATTTAATTCGTTGTATAAATATTTGTTATTACTTATTAGAAATCGATTATTTATTTATATGTAAATACCAGTTTTGTATTCATGATCCCAAATCTTGTTTCTCTTTAGTATATGGAAACACTAATTTGTATTCATGAGCACATATCTCCATTCTCTTTCTCCATGAATGTGAATAAAGATCGTATATTTAGACATAATCACACAAAATAGAGAATAATCTTAACCAAAGAACAAAAAAAAAAATCTTTTGTAAAGTAAAGATTAAGACTCTTGGACAAGGCTCGTGGCCACCACAGAACAACTAACTTCAAAGTTAGCTTCATCTTCATCAATCCAACTCACCAATCCATAAACCACGTTCTCTTGTAACGCTCTCGGACTCTCCAATCTTACAGTGTAACTTAGCTTCTCGTTTTTTCTCGCTGAACACTAGTCTCTTTGGTTCTACGACGACGTTTAGACCCTTCAAGCCTCTCACTCTCACGCTGTAGCTTCTCTTTGCTTCTCCCACGTTTGTCAATGTCCTCTGAAAGATCTTGGGATCGTTTTGATCGGACGTGAAGTAGGCAATGATTGAAGGGTAATTGAGATATGGAGATGGTTTTTTACACGCGTCCGAAAGATTCGATCTTGTGATGATATTGATCAGTTTTCTTGATTGTTTTGCCTCGTGACAAAGGAAGTTTATGAAATCTTGTGGAGTTGTATCATAGATTAGGCCAGGGTTCAAGACTCTGTTCGTACTCACATGTCCTGCTCCAACGGCTAAAGGGTTGTCTAAAGTCAAAGCCGTTGTCATAATTGCAGATTTTATAGCCGATGGACTCCAATTTGGATGGACTTGCTTAATAAGCGCGGCAACTCCAGCTACATGAGGTGCAGCCATTGATGTCCCGGTTAAGAGATTGAATCCGCTGAATAACGGCCTTGCTCGAGTTCCCGAGACTGGTTTAACCGGTGGCCAAGCGGAGAGTATCAGCGTGCCAGGAGCTAGAATATCCGGTTTGAGGATTTGTGGGAAGCTTGTGTATGGACCTCTCGAGCTGTATGTGCCTACTTCTGGTGCTGGTTTTGTCCCGATTACTGTTTTCCGAAACTCCAGCTTTGCCGTCACGTTGTTTTCGTTGCTTGATGCGTAGCTTTCAATAGTTTCTCGGTGTCTTGAGCTGATGAATGCTACCGGAAACTGGAATTTTATAGTGTCTTGTTCCTCAAGTAACTTATCTGTTATTAAAACAACTGCTGCAGCTCCGGTGGATTTGAGTTGATGAAGTTTACTTCCGATGTTTACGTTTTCATTACAGACAACAATTCTGTTCGCTAGAGTCTTGTTTTCGACGCTGCCAGATTCGATGTAAGTTACTGGAAACTGAACCGAAGGAAAATCTCCGGGAAACAGAGATGGAAAAGTGAAACTAACTCTGTTTCCAAACGTTAGGGTTCCTTGAAATTGCCGACCAATTGTTCCCGCTCCAACCGTCATAATCCATGGCGCTCCGTTAATTAAACTCCAATAATACGGCCCGTCGTTACCGCCGGAAGCAACAACAAACACACCTTTTTGAATTGCTGCAAACGCTGCCACTGCGATTGGATCATTTTCTAGACCGAAACCATCGCTGTCGTCATCATCCTCAAAGCTCAATCCTAGTGACAGAGATATCACATCAACTCCATCTCGAATCGCTTGATCAATCGCTGCGATTACATCTGATGAGTAAATCCCTTCTTCCCAAGCGGCTTTGTAGATCGCTATATGCGCGTGCGGTGCGATTCCTGAGGCGGTTCCTTGGGCGTAAGAGAAGTAAGACGCGTTCTTAACGTGATTACCAGCTGCAATGGCCGCAACATGAGTGCCGTGTCCGATTGTATCGTACGGTGAAGAGTATTGAGCAATCTTGGTTCCTCTCAAATCAGGGTTGTTGGCAAACAAACCCTTGTTGAATACTCTAGCACCAATTAGTTTCTTGTTGCACAAGGAAGAAGGATTGAATTCACATGCTCCTTTCCATTTAGACGGAACCGAACCAACCCCATCGTCGTGAAAGCTGGGACTATCGGGCCAAATTCCGGTATCTATAATACCGATTACTGTACCAACTCCATAATTCGAGACCGGCCATATACCGGATGTCGAATTTAGACCGATAAACTGCGGAGAGAAAGTGGTATGAAGCTTAACCGGTAAATCTTTGGTGAAAGAGACATACCCGGGTTTGTGTTTAAGACGTTGGAGCTCGAGGTTGGTGAGAACTGCGCTAAACCCGTGAACCGAATCGGTATAAGCGTAGATAATCTTTGGTTTTCTATCGGTTATAACTGAAGTAAGAGTTGTGGAAAACCAGCTCCGATGATCGGAAAATGGCAACGGTTTGGCAGATAAGTCCATGTGGATGATGTAAGTAGAGGTCTCCGCCGTTGCAATCGCTACGAAAAAGGAAATCACCAGAAGAATCACGATGGTCATATTTTTTCTCTGGTCTCTTCAAACTGAAATGAAATTTGGCGTTAGTAAGAAAAAATTATAGTTTTGTTAAGAGATGTTTAATTTTTATTATGACAAAAAAAGTTGCAGAGATTGTAACCTTTACTTAGCTTTTGCTTTTGTTAAAGTGGTTTTAGGTGGTGGGCAATACATCTCTCATCATTGTTTCTTTTACTTTTCTCTTTCAATTGGGCTTTATTATAGAGGACAATGATTTTGGATATCAAATTGTATTTTATACTAATAAACTGATACTGAAAACAGAGTTAGAGGTAAGTTTAATCCCACATGTTGCTAGGTTTGACACACATTTTATGAGGGTATGTATCTTTTGCAAAAGCTTGACAAAGTTGCTTGATGTTGTTGCAGGAGAAAGAGGAAAAATATGATGAAAAAAGCTCAAAATTAAAGTTATTAAGAGGTGTGAGTTTGTGTTTAGAAATCAATACGAGACTTGCCTATTTTTACATGGAACTCATTACTTTCATAGAATGGCCTCTTTTTGGAGAAGGAAAGATATTCTTCAAAAATAAAGATAGACGGTTGATGAGTGTAGAAGTTTGAGGCTGCCCTTGTAGCAACTAGTTTTGCATTCCTATCAAGTTGTTCAATCCTATCACCGAGGACGAAGACGGCCTTAACCGAAAAAGCTCTACATTATCACTATTGCTCAACCCTTGTATGATTGTCCACTTGTTAGCTCTCAAGTCGTACTCATGAACCACCATTGAGTCCTTGGTAGCCTCGGTCCACTTATTTTGCGATACTCACAGCTCCTATGGTTGTTAACCAATCTATCACCCGACTTGTTCGGTTTCAGCAGCTAACGCTTGGACCTATCCCAAAACACACACATACATCTCATCTCTTAGCCACAAATGTAATCACATACAACACCAAACACTCATAAATCACCAAATAGATGTTATTTAAAAGCCCTTAACGCAACTTAGCTTCAAATACAGAGTAAACTTAAACACATGACTGATGTAATTGTCTACAAGGCTGAGAGACCTAACATAAAACATCTTCCAATGGACCAAAAGACCACATAGAGTAATTCCAATCAATAGCACATAAAGAAACCCCTAATTTACCAATCGACTACAAGTGATATAAGATTTAGCAGATTCTCAATAAGTGGAACATGGGTTCTCGAATTTAGGCCATAAAGTTGAAATCCAGCACAAAAAGTTACGAAATTGGATACCTTTACGGAGAGAAACTGATTCCTTGATGAGAAAACTAGATTTCCGATCGAAGAAGAAGTAGTAAGGGAGGAAAAGCTCGAAGAGGACATATCGTAGAATCTGTTGCATGAACTCAGTAACTGCTGGATCTCAATTGAACGACCACCGCAATCCACAACAACACTCTCCTCATCTCCTTCGCCGGCGAAACAAATATTGCAATCGCCGATGGTGACCAGCTCTTCCGATTTCGTCATCAGAGAGAGACGCGAGAAAGAGAAAAAACACGGCCAATTTTTTTTTTTCCTTTGTAAAAATTCTGAAGCCAACCAAAAGCTATTTTGATTTATTTTTATTACCTTTAATCTTTAGAACCCTTCATAACACATATGGGCCCTAATTACTTATATGGCCCAATGGCCTCTTTCTTCTTTCTTCTTTCTTCTTCTTCCTCCTCCTACGACAAACCACTTCTTCTTCTCTTCACCGTATGCTTCTTCTCCTTTCTTCATCATCTTCATCTTCTCACACTTCTCTTTGTCTTTTCTCTTATGTAGGATTAAGTAATGAATCAACTTCCAACACTCCCTGTTGATTCATTTTCTTAATCCCCAAAATTTTGATTTAGGGATTTGATTCCCTTACTCTTTGTTCTTCTCTGGTGATTCGCCTTCTCACTGTGCAAATCCCTTTCACGACATTGCACAACTCACTGGTGAGTTCTCTTTCTCCCTCAACGCTTCATTCTTCACAAGCTTTTCAATTTGCTTCCGGTGTTTGGATCGAATCTTCCGTTTCTTTTTCTGTTTGGGCTTTATTAAAGAGGAGTAAGGCCCACTATTATTAGGCCAATTGGATTTGAAAAGAGATAACCCGTTTCTTTGTCAGATTCGGATTTGGCAAATGCATAGCGCCAAAATCTAATCGATTTTCCCGCCATCTCCATCGATCAATCTGGGTTCTTAAACCTCAATCAGCTGCTCAGCTTCGCCAAATCACCAAATTGACCGGATTTGTAAAATGTCCGGCGATAATTCAACGGAAACTGGACGAAGACGTAGCCGAGGCGCGGAGGCGGCGAGTCGGAAAGACACACTCGAGCGGCTGAAGGCGATTCGACAAGGAGGAATTCGGTCTGCGTCAGGTGGTGGGTACGATATTAGACTACAGAAGCCAATCTTCGATACGGTTGATGATGACGAGTACGATGCACTTGTTTCCCGACGGCGCGAGGAGGCTCGCGGGTTTGTAGTTGAAGATGGAGAAGGTGGCGATTTGGGATATCTCGACCAAGGTGAGGAGGAGGATTGGTCGAAGCCTAGCGGACCAGAATCAACTGATGAATCGGACGACGGTGGTAGGTTTAGCGGGAGACTTAAGAAGAAGAAGAAAGGGAAAGAACAAATGCAGCAACCTCAAGTTAAGAAGGTGAATCCGGCGCTAAAGGCTGCAGCTACTATCACTGGTGAAGGTAGACTTTCGTCTATGTTCACGTCTTCGAGTTTCAAGAAGGTCAAAGAGACTGATAAGGCACAATATGAGGGAATTCTTGACGAGGTAATAGCTCAGGTTACTCCAGACGAGTCGGATAGAAAAAAGCATACGAGAAGAAAGCAACCAGGTACTGTTCCAGTTACCATCTCCAGGAACAAAAAACTGGTTTCTGTTACTTCGAGTATGGAAATGAAGAAGTCAGAACCAACACCCTTAATTTATGAGGATGATTGTGTTTTCATGGAGAATGAGTTGATGAAAGAGTTGAAAGAGGAAGATATGAAAGAATCTGAAGTCATTCCTTCGCATAATGTTGAGAGTATGGAAGTACCTGGAAGTGATAGTGTTATAGAGGATGGATCAAACAAGATAAGAAAAGATGAGGTGAAGACTGAGTTAGGTGTTAAGGAGGTATTTACATTGAATGCAACTATTGATATGAAAGAGAAAGATTTGGCTTTAAGCGCCACTGCTGGTTGGAAGGAAGCGATGGGAAAAGGTGGAACTGAGAATGGGGCTTTACTTGGTCCTAGTTGTGAAGGGAAAACGGAATTTGATTTGGATGCTGATGGATCACTTCGTTTCTACATTCTTGACGCTTATGAGGAGGCTTTTGGTGCGAGCATGGGCACAATATATCTGTTTGGGAAGGTAAATCTCTTGGGATGTTTCACTCAATTTCTTCTTCTTTAAAGTTGTTATTTTGGCCTTAATCTATAGAATGAATTCGGACTTCCTTTTTTTACAATTCAGGTTAAAATGGGAGATACTTACAAGAGTTGCTGTGTGGTAGTTAAGAATATCCAGAGGTGTGTTTATGCTATTCCAAATGATTCCATATTTCCTTCTCATGAATTAATCATGCTCGAGCAAGAGGTGAAAGACTCTCAACTTTCTCCTGAATCCTTTCGTGGAAAGTTGCATGTGAGTTTGACTACTTGAGTTACATTCTAAGAGGAAGCAATATCTTTTCCTCTGTTGTTTATTGTTTTTGGCTGTGTCTTCTCAGGAAATGGCATCAAAACTGAAAAACGAAATTGCTCAGGAATTGCTACAACTCAATGTTTCAAATTTTAGCATGGCGCCTGTCAAGGTTTGGATATTTACTTCTCTGTCATGTATTCTAGCAGCAATACTTTTCTTTTGACTCTCTATTCTGCTCTTTATGTACGAATATCAGAGAAACTATGCTTTTGAGAGGCCTGATGTGCCTACTGGCGAACAATATGTTATGAAGATAAATTATCCATTTAAGGTACACTTTAGCTGTTCAAAAATCAAACTAAAAATCGTCAGTTTTTTTATATCTCAACACTGTGACAATTTTCCCCTGTTATAATAGGATCGTCCACTTCCAGAAGATCTTAAAGGCGAGTCTTTCTGCGCTTTGCTCGGGTCTCATACCAGGTTCTAGCTTCTTACTGCTGAGTTTCATTACCTTTCCCTGCATGCGTTTGGTAGTTGTTCAGTTAAATTTGTATTTTCTGGTCTTCTTTAAGCTTCTTAGTTAACTATGTATGCTGGCTATGTCAATTTAGCACGGTGCAATTTTTCCCTCCTTATCAAAGTTAATTTATATGCAGTGCTTTGGAGCATTTTATCCTTAAGAGGAAGATCATGGGACCTTCTTGGCTCAAAATTTTTAACTTCTCTACTTGCTCACCTTCTGTAGGAGTAAGGCCTTGAAATTGTGCCATATTATCAATGATTTCCTAGTTCTATTTATCTCCAATAATGAGAGGACTTGACACTTGTGCAGGTGAGCTGGTGCAAGTTTGAGGTTACTGTTGAATCTCCCAAGGATATCACTGTTTTAGTTTCGGAGGAAAAGATGGTTCACCCTCCTGCTGTCGTTACAGCCATAAATTTAAAGACCATAGTCAATGACAAGCAGAACATAAGCGAAATCGTTTCTGCATCTGTTCTCTGCTTTCACAATGCCAAGGTTTGTTCTGCAACATTTAACAATGCTTCTTAGCCATATTTTTTTCTCTTTGTGAAGAATATGGATGTATGATCATGACATTACCAATCACCAGTAGATTTTCGTACCATGTGGTTTTATATTAACGCTCATTTTGGACGATTGTTTCTTTCTCAAAAGACACTCTTATGTCTACATTAGTAGCTTGACATATGGTGTGCGTGCTCCTTGATCTTTCAGATTGAGGTTCCAATGCCAGCTCCAGAAAGGAAGAGATCTGGTATTCTGAGTCATTTCACTGTTGTTAGAAATCCTGAAGGAACCAGTTACCCAATTGGTTGGAAAAAAGAAGTGGCTGACAGAAATTCAAAGAATGGCTGCATTGCTTTAAGTATTGAAAACAGGTGTGTTGC